GCAGGCAGCCCCCACCCACCCAGGGGTGCCCACCCCAGCCCCAAAACCCACCTGACTCCTGGAGGAGCCACCAATGAGAGCCAGCAGGCCCTGCCATTCCCTGGCCCCCTCCACAGACCCACAGATGAACATACACACGGATTCCCCCCAATGCACACAAGCCTGTGCGTTATGATAGATGTGGGAGTCACAAGGGTGGGAATTTTGCTCACTGCCGTATCCCGATGCCTAGAACGGCTCCTGGCACATAGCACCACGGTAATATTTATTAGGCTTATTTACAGTCGTGCACTTATTTGATAATGTTTGTGAAATGCATGAGTGCAGATAAGCCAGGATCCACAGACACATGTCTACGTATGTGAAGACGTGCACCAGGCACACACTCGTGTGTGCCCACGAGCATGCACAGCCTGAGCTCCCAGGATGCCCTCTGCCTCCCCACTTACCTCAGCAGCCAGGTAGTTGCCTGTGGCCAGGTGCTTGAAGCGGTACAGGCCATTCCAGTGGCCAGCTCCTCCACGGCAGGGGTCATGATGCACCACCTGAGGGGGTGCAGGGGTGAGGCAGGGGTGAGGCTATCTAGGGAGGGGGAGCTCAAAGGGGGAAGCACGGAGAGGAGGGGCACTGGAGCTCTGGGTAGATGGCTCCTGGCTCCAGAGCGGCTCAGAGGGGAGGCAGAGGTTGACCTCCCACCCCCCAGAGTGATGGGAGAAGAGGGAGGGGTGGAGCCCAGAGCTGGAGAGAAGGGCTGGGTCCTGGGCACAGAAGCAGGGCTCTGACCTCCACCTCCCAGAGGGCGTTGGAGCTGGTGGCCGAGGTGGCGGACTGGCGCAGCGTCGTGCGCAGGAACACCTGCAGCTTGGCCTTGTACTCGTCACACGTCAGGAACTTCTCTTGCTCCGCATGGAACAGCCGCACCACGTCTCCCTGCGGGCGGCAGGGTGTGGGCTTAGGAAGGACAAGGACCCTCCCAGGGGCCAACGCCACCTGCCTCAGATGCAGGCGCAGCTGGCTGGACCCCGCGTGCCCCTTCCAGAGCCAGCAGCCGAGGATGAGATGCATGCTGGGCCATACCCACCAGAGGGCAGCCAGGATCCCCAGCCAGGCACTCTGCCCACAGCCCTCAGCCCAGACCCCAAATTCAGACCTCCAGGCAGCTGGGGCAGGACAAGTTCTTATCTGGGGCCCTCCCCAGCCTTCCACGTTCGGACCTGCCCTTGATCGCCTCCCTCCCCAGTCTGTACCTCTAGAAACCCTGCCTGATCTCTAAAGGCCAATCTCAAGTCACCCCCTCCATGAATGCAGGAGGGGGTCTCCTGGGCCCTTGCTGCCTATTGATACATCGTGCCCATTGCTTTTGCTCCCTGCTGGGTTGGTGCAGCTGGAGTGCAGGGATGATGGCCTGTTCATCTCCGTAGCTTTGGACACTAAGACCAAGTTTGGATCCTGGCTCTGCTCTTCTAAGCTGTAGGTATGACCTTGCATAAGTCCCTGAACATCTTTGAGCCTCAGTTTCCTCTTCTGTAACACATCATGACCCCTATTTTACAGGTGGGGAAACTCAGGCACCGAGAAGGTGAACATCCTGCCGAGGGTCACGTAGCTAGTGACAGACGGGACATGAGTCGGTGCCGCAGCTCCAGGGCCGACACCCTCATCTCTCCACCACGCTTCCTCCCACAGCGAGCCTGCCCCCAGCAGGTTCTCGGTGTGACTGCTGCTCCTATGATTAACACTGACGGCATTATCTGTTTTCCCTACACTGTGCTGGACACAGAGTACTCAGCCAGCATCTGTGGAGTGAATACGTGAGTGGGTGAATGAAGGAATGAAGGAATATACACAGATTGGGTCAATTACTAGGCAGAACCTAGTGACTTCTGTACCCAGGCAGCGCAGGGTGACAGCAAACAAGGGTGGGCTCCGTTAGCTCAAGTCTCACTTCCGAGTTGCCTGGAATCTAACATTGGAGCCACGAAAGACTCACTGAAACCACTCTGGGCAGCACCTCAGGGTTCGGCCCAGTGATGCTTTCTTTTCTAAATGCTGCACAGATTTGGGGCTGGAAGGCATAATCAGGGAAGGCTTCTGGGAGGAGGCAGCACACGGGCTGGGCCTTGACTGGTGTGTGGATGATGTGCAGGCTTAAGGGAGGGAGGGAATGGCATAGAGCATGGGTGGGTGGGAAACAGTCTGGGAGATGGGAGAGAGCAGGAGGACGAGGGGCTGAGGCAGCCTGAGGGGGACAGGACAGTCTGACAGAGCAGCCTGGCTGTGGGAGGAGGCCAAAGGGAGCATAGCAGGCTTCTGTGCGGTGAACATAGGGCAGCCTCCCTAGGCAGCTGCTGGCGGGCCTGCCACCTATCCCTTTAACAGATATCACCCCCAGGTGTACCTGCCAACTCCCCTGGCTGAGGAGCCCCACCCTCTTTGCTACCACCGAATGTGCCCCTCCCATCTTTCCCGCCACATACTGCCTGCATCCCAATAGGCTGGTTCCCTCCCCTCCACCCCCACTGAACCCTCCTCTCTGCCCCCACGTCTGGTTTCCAGGGTTTCTCTAGCGGTCTCTGCAGCCCTCCTTCCACCCTCTGCTCTGGTCCCTCCCAGAGTCTTTACTGTGGTATTCTCCCGCAGTACTCGTCCCACACAGGTTCGTCCTTCCCCACCTGCCAACCCCTTATGTTCTAGCACCCACCTCCGCAGGTCTGCAACCAGGGCACAGGCCCTGACTCAGCAGCCTAACGTCCTTGCCCAAGAGAGCACCGGGCAAAGGGTGCGGGGCCTGGCCCAGACCATGGCACAGGCACAGGGGAAGGAACAAGTTGCTCAAAGGATCTGGGCCCTTCCCAAGGTGGGAGGATGGAGATCCCAGTCCACTGCCTGATACCCCCTTAGCAAATGAGCAAACTGAGGCCAGCCAGGTCTTGGCGAGGGTGGAGAGGGGGGTTGTGAGGCCAGAGGAGACAGAAGAGGAGGTCCAGTTGGGGCTGGTGGGCCCCTGGGGTGGGCCCTGTGTGTGTGAAGGGGGCAGGAGCTGTGAGTGGGCAGAGGAATGCTGAAAGGGCTGCAGAGCCACAGCAGGGGGCACATGGAGGGAGGACCAGGCGGGCAGCAGAGCTGGGCAGGAGGAAGGCAGCAGGAGGGACCCGTGGGGAAGGGGCTGGGTGGCCAGCAGGCAGGGTGGCAGCAGGGGCGCTCCCCGTCCTTACCCCTTTCAACACTTCATCCAGGTGGTCTCGGAACTGCATAAACAGGTTGATCTTCCAGCTGGTGTTGCAGTTCACAGAGTTGACCTGGGTTAGGGCAGAGAGACCCGTGACGCCAGGCAGACCTCCAGCGGTTGGGGAGTGGGGCAGCACTGAAGGCCCAGAGAGGGGTCAGGGGAGGACCAGCCCAGTCCCCATTAGAGCACAAGAAGGGGCGCCTTCTCCCAGTCAGGGCCCTCAGACTCCAGCCCAGCTGCCCTGGGGCTGCCACCTGTGCGGTGGAGAATGGGGGCAACGTTGGGAGACAGGTGGGGGAGCAGTGAGGCCCAGCTTGTCCAGCAGGCCACATGGGATTGGAGGAAGAGACCCTGGTGGGAAGGGATGTGGAGTTGCCTCTCCCTTACAGGGCTGGCTCCGCTACCCCACTCACCTCCTTGCAGCCGGCATTGTCGCTGAGCTCGTAATTGCTGGCATGCAGAGGCTGCCCGGCATTGACAGGATTCAGGATAACCTTGTCCCCCACGACCACCTATGGGGACGGGCAGAGCAGGGTGAGAGTGAGAAAGGCCACGCCTCCCTAGGGCTCTGTCTGCCCCTCTGAGAAATGGACATGGCCTCATCCAGTCCCTGCATCGACCATACAGCAGCTGCTCTGGAGCTGTGGCCTAGAGCTCCCCCAGGCCCCTCCAGCCCAGCCCTGTCCTCACATTGTCCCCATTGCTCCTCAGCTTCCAGAAGGGCTGGATGAAGAGCCAGGAACCCTCGTTGCCCGTGGCATCCAGCGTCACCCGCATGGCATTCTTTTCCAGCAGGGCCGGCAGCCGCTTGTTCACTGTCAGGTACTTGTTGCTCTTCATGTGCAGGAGCTGGGGGGCAGGCGGGTACGGGTGAGGGAACCCAGGAGGCCAGCCCATCAAGAGAGTGGGCCACTGGACCCTGGGGCACAGCCGGATGCTCAGTGTCAGACACACAGGCTGAGACACATGCAGTCACACACAAACACACACCCAGTTGGGCACCTGATCACAAAAAAAGAAGTTAGCACTCTTCTAAACACCTTACAAGATTGCATTATCTCATGCAACCTTACAAACAGGAGAGAAGTACTATAACTGGCCTGATCTTACAGAGGGGGAAAGTGAGGCACTGAGAAGTTAAGTAACTTGCCTAAGTCACAGAGCCGAGAGTTTAACCCAGATCACGTGACTCCGGAATCGGGTCTGGTGACAACCATGCTGAAAACACACCCTTAGACGTGACTGCTCAGGCCACACACAGAAGCAGGTATGCAGTCACAGAGAAGGTCCTGGAGCCACCCACTGAGGACCAAACCCACAGAGGGCATGTCCGCTGGCAAGCTCCACCCAACATCATCCCAGGCCTTCTCGAGGGGAGAGGCGGTGGGTGGGGGGAGGGGAAGGGGTCTCACCTGGATCACACTGCCATACTTCACAATGTCGCCGTGCACCTTCTTATTCTCCGTGTCATTTTGCTTCTGCTCCATTTGGGCTGCATGCTGCGCAGACACATATGAGGTGGAGAAGCCGGCTCCTGAAGGAGAGCGTCCCCCACCCGCCTCACGCACACCGAGCTCCTGGCGCTGACCCAGAGTGACCCTCAGGTGCCATCTAGCCCGTGCCCTTCCACTATGGAGAGGGACTGAGGCCCCAAGTGTGGAAAGGCAGCCCAAGGTCATGCAGCCTGCAGCTCAGGGAGCCAAATTCCTCACCCCTGCCCCCCGCTTGCCTCCACCACCTCCCTCTGGAGAGGGCATGCCAGCCGGCCCTTGAGACCTATGCCTCTGGACGCCCCCAGAAGACACCTAAGCTGGGCCTCACTACCCCCATCTCACCAGACTCCTGATGCCCCAACATGGGACCCCTGCCCCGGCCCAAATGCTGATAGGCATGCCTGGTGCCACTTCCTCCTCCTCCACCCCACTCCATGTGACCCTCTCTCCCCAGACTGTGTGTGCTCCTAGACCACTGCCTCCAGGGAGCCTTCCCTGACTGGCCACATTCAACACTGGTGGATCCAACTCTGGTGGCCTTGAGATTTGGGTTTGCATCCCATTAAGGACACTTCTGTCACATTAGACTGAAAGCTGCCTGAGGATAGGCTCTGTCACCTCCGTCAGACGGGCACTCCCTGAGAGCTTTGGCCCCTCTGCCCCTTTCTTCCCCTCAATCCCTTTACCCGGACCTCATGGCTGAGGCAGCAGTGAGCGTGGCTGCCGGGGAGCTTTGCCGTGCACTCGTGGCTTTCCATAGACCTTAAATGTGTGGCTGTGTGACCACATCTAGTTCTGAGTATGTGTCTGTGTGGGGAGGAAGCCTGTGACAGCCCCAGCCCAGGGGAGAGATGGGATTATTTATAACAGAGCTCAGGAAGCCCATCCCCAGCCACCTGTCTCTAGCCCAGTTCACAGCTATGGGGTGGAGCCCACCCTTCCCCTATTTTACACCACTCCTCCGGGCAAGGAACACAAGGACACGAGGTCTGTATGGGGGTGGAGGGCACCGGGGCCAAGAGAGGCTCAGAAGCAGGCTGCCAAGTTGCTGACACAGCCAAAGCCTCTCAGTCTCTTCTCCAGGGGGTCTGGGCTTGGGGCCTTGAGCTCTGTCCAGAGAGGACTGCCCAGGATGTTAACTGGCCCACTGCCCCAAGAGGCCCGTGAGCAACCAGCAGGCCCTCACCCCATGCACCGGCCATGTGTCCAAGGAGCGCAAGATGGGTCAGAGACCCAGGGGCCGTCAAGGCCCTACTGCAAACTCACAAGATGACCATGGACAGCCCAGTCCCCTCTACAGGCCCCAGGCTCCAACTCTATAAAACAAGGGAAGAACTTAACACTAGTTCTCAAATCAGGTTCCCTGGAGCCACTGGCAACTCCATGTACAGCTGTACAGGTTGTTCACTGCACCATGGTGTCCAGCTGAAGGGTTGGGTGGGAGCTGAACCCCAGTCCACTTTCCACTCACTGAGCCATGTGCCCTGGCATAGGGCTGGGCCAGCCTGGAGAAAGGGGCACCTTCTTCTAAGTAGCACAAGGGGTCATACAGACGAGTGGGTCTCTGGGAGGACACTACTCCTCACCTCACCTCATTCACAGCAGCACACCGATCACTTGCATACTGGGGTTTTAAAAGCCACTGGACTCTGCCACAGGGCCCCTGTCAGCTGTGACAAGCAGTGGCCTGTATGTGCACCCGGGTTCCTGACACACACACAGTGCACACCTGTGTGCACACACCTGCAGCTTCTGCAGCAGCACCACGTCGGCGATCTTGTCCTTGTCCTGCTTGGTCTGCTTGGCCTTCCAGTACTGCTTCTGGGCCGAGTAGCGGTTCATGGGACACACCTTGAAGAGGCAGTCTGTGGGGGCGGGTGAAGGAGGGAGATGGGGCCATGTGGGGCTCAGGGCCCTCCCTGAAGAAAACCCCAGTCTGCAGCCCTGCGTCAAATCCCACCTCGGCTCCCCCCATAGAGAGGCAGCGGTTAGAAGAAGCCTGTAAAACTTGGAGCATCCTGGATTGGGTAGAACAGAGAATTCCAGAAGCAGGTTTGAGAGCAGGATCTCACCTAGGAGGTGGACATGTGCCCTCTGCCCCACAGGAGATGAATCAGAGACTGTCGGGTCCCCACCCCTTGACATGCCTGTGCCCAGCTTTTGTGGGAAGCTGACAGCTCACACCTGCATCCTTCTCTGGCCAACTGCCACCATGTGCCCACAGATGCCTGAAAAGTTACATCCCCTCCCCGCCCCCCAAAGGGGCAGATGCACCCAGTGGCTGACCAGGCAGGTACCAGCCCAGCCTCTGGGAGCCTATCTGTGTGCCCATCACTCGCCACCTCCCAGTGGGATCGGGCTGAGCCTCCTCGTCCCCTAAAGCCACATCCTTGCTCTGTTCTTCCCCTGCGCTGTGTGAGCAAGGCTCTCTCACTCTCCTCCTGAGCCCTCTCAATAATCCTCCCGTCTTAGGGAACTCGACCTAAGACAGGACCAATCAAAATTCCAGAAACAAATTAAACATGACAATTTTTATTTTGGAAAGCACACAAAACACTAGTGATTTTCAGAAGCCCAAACTCCAGAGAGGGTGTCAGATTTTTCTACTTATCCAAAGGCGGCATGAGTTGGAAAATCCTGTTCTAAAGTGTTGTGGGAGCGGACGAGGATTCTGGGTCATGGTGAAATGCTGGCACAGGAGATGGGCTGTTTGACAAGAGCCCGGGCTGTGCTGTGAGGCAGTGAGGTCCCCGTCACAGGAGGGAACCACACCCTGCACAAGGGCGTGAGCTCATGACCTGTAGACCCCCTCCTGCTGCAGGGCTGTGCCTCCACAACTGCGGTGCCACAGTAGCATGGAGCACAGGAGGAAGGTGGTGTGCTGGGGAGCCTGGAAGCGGGCCGCTGGGGGAGCAGGTCACAGAGGCGGGGAGCCCCCTCCTTCAGCCGCTCTCATCTGCCCTCTAAAGGAAGGCTATGTCCCGGCTCTGACCAAAGCGGGTCATCCAGCCCCTGGGAACTAAAAGTGCGGCTGGATTTTCCATGTAAGCCCGGGAGTGGGCAGAGGTCCCCTGGTGCCACCGGGAGGAGAAACCAAGTGAGTCAAAATGCAGAGAAGACAGAACTTCCTTAAAGGGTGGGGGAAATGTCAATGTTACCAATATATATTGAATACTACAATTTTAATACAGTTTTTTTCCTTTCTTAAAATACGTGTACATTTTTTGGCACCCTCTGTGTATTCTTATTTCATTATGTATATAGGCTGCGTTATATAATGCTTTCCTTTTATTTCTCGTTTTTGTCACAGTTAGAGCATCATATTGGCCTCACTACCTCCCCCCAGCTCCAGATTTCCTTAGACCCTGCACCCCTCCCCATTTTATGTTATACAAATACAGCTACAGATAGATTCTATTATTACTTTTTTTTTTAATTCTATTGGGGAACAGCCATGGTCATTGGTTACACATTGCTCTCATGCTACAATGGCATAGTTGACTCTTTTAAGGACAGCGCAGCTCACAGTGGCCCACGCAGGGATCAAACCGGCAACCTTGGTGTTAGCAGCACCACACTCTAACCAGCTGAGCTAACCAGTCACCCCAGATTGTATTATTATTTAATTCCACTACATAATATTAAACGGGGGTGGCTCTGGGCCTAACAGGCTGATGTGCTTCTTTCTGCCGCCCTCCCAGGCTCTGAGGGGTAGGCAGGCAGGGCTGCGTGCAGCTCATCACTATGTCCCCAGCCCCCAGACTAGGGCTCAGGGATTGTCTGCCAGATGGACACATGAATCCAGAAATGACTCCCTCATGATGAGGGCGGGGCTTGAATTTAGCCCTGAAGGGAGGGAAAAGCAAGAGAGAGGTGGAGGTGGCAGTGAGACATGGGATAGTCACATCAGGTCCGGTGGGCCCTGAGACTGAGTGAGCCTGGAGCCAGGGGGTGCCGGGGGGTCAGCAGCCCACCGGCCTTGGCGATCTGGACTCCTTGGTCTCCCACAGCCCACCTCCCTCTGCTCCCAATCCAGACAGGAGGACAGGGAGACGCTGCCCCAGGCCGCCCTGCTGCAGATCTTCCCAAGCTTTTCTGACCTGACTCACCTAGGAAATGCATATTGAGATCACCATTTCATGAAACAACGTGGCGACTTCTGTCCCTGGTAAGGGGCCCGCAGGCTCTGACTCTGACAGGGCTGAGAACTGTGGTTACACTCCATTCTGGACCAACCCAACCAGAAAACAACTAAGCAACCAGATTTTTTTAACAGACATTATTTTAAGACTTCTTAAAGAACCAACGAGACAGTGAGGAATCATCCGGCCAGATCAAAAGGAAAACCAGGGAGATACAGAAATACCCAAGCTACTTTCACCCTGAGGGTATTTGCTGATTCCACTTGATCTTAGCCAAAAGGTCGAAAAGCGATGCTGATTCCAGAAGACATGACCTTTTATTAGGACAGCTTCACCAGATGACGGACAAAAACCTGAGCCCAGGCCAAGCGAACGTGGGAGTAGCAGGAGGCCCTCCCATCAGGACTGCGCCCATGGTGAAGGCTGAACCCAGAGAAGAACAAACAGCCCCTTCCAGCAGCTATAGCCCTGTTGGAATCCCTCGGGGGGGGGGGGTGCAAAAACCCCAGACTTGAGCTTAGCTTCCGGTGGTCTCGGACAGGTGAGGCCCCGTGTCTGGGAGCACACCCTCTTTCTCCTACTACACAACCACTCATACCAAATTTTTCGAGTGCAATAACCAGCATATGGCCAGAGATAACCAGGAACTCTTGGGAACTAGACACTATAAGATAGAATAAACCCACAAAACAGACACCAGAAACAGATATCAAGAGATTTCAGACATGGACATCATCCGTAAACCAGAAATGCCTACTCTGCTTAAATCGATAAAAATAAAAATAAAACACTTGAGGAGCCCTGCAGAGAACAGGAAACTATAAAAAAAAACGACACAACGGAGTGAAAAAGCACCAAATGTAGTTTCTAGAAATAAAAAAGTTTCAATAACCAAATTTAAAATTCACTGAATACATTTAACAGGAGAATAGACAGAGCTGAAGAAAGAATGAATGAAATAATAACAATCCTTACTGTGGTTGATGCATTCTTATTCTATTCTATCCAAGTCTTTAAAGGATAGTTGAGCCCATCAAAGGGGCTTTACAGCCCACTAGTGGGTCAGAACCTGTGTCTGAATGAGGCGCCTTGCGCTGGGGCATCAGGAAAGGGATAAAGCCAGACGTGATCCCTCCCTGCTCCCGACTCCTCTATAGTTTCTTGGAAACTTACTACCTTGTCAAATTTGTCTTTTTATCTCACATAGATCCTCCCTTAGAGCCCTGCCCGCAATATTCAGAAAATGCTTGTGGAATGAATAAATTATTTGAGCCCTTTAAAATGTGGTGGCCCATCCCATGCACACGTCCAGGCTTTTACTGTGCCATGCTCTTTTGCCCAAAGGCAGCCCTGTCAGAACCCCACAAGGGGCCAGAACCTTTCTTCTCACCAAGCCTTAAGGCAGAAGGGCAGAGAGGAAGGGTGGATGGGTAGCCAGAAGACTGAGCATCACAGGAGCAGCAGCATCAGAGGCCAAGAGAAAAGTCTGGGTCCGGGGGGCGGGAGGGGGGAGGGGGGCGTCCTACAGTAAGGACTGTCTGTGCGGGGGGACGTGTACCTGTGTGTGGCGGGGGCACAGGGTTTGCGACGCCACAGACAGATGATCTTCATTTATTAAAATAAGTCAACTGACATGCCCTGAAACTGATTTAAGGTGTACAACACTTCAAAAGCCACTGCCACTGCATAGAGTCACGGGGGGGGGGGGGGGGGGGGGGCCACACTCCCAGGTCCCCCACGGATCTTGGTAGGTCTGGGGTAAAGCCTGGGAATGTTCATTTTTAAAGGCAACACACACACACACACACAAATGGTTCTCCTGTTCAACATAGTTTGAAAAGCACTAGTGGAGGATTCAAGACAAGAACAGCAGACAGGAAATAAAGTTATACAGTCACAACAATGTATAAGCTCTGTATAAATCATGTAAATATTGGTTTTTAATTTTTTTTCAACATTTAAATTCATCTATAGAACAAAACACCCCAGACTCCATTGTGGTTACAGAAGAGAATGTAAAGCTTATTCAGTCTTGATGCTGTAAAACTAAAAGTGACATGGCAGAGGTGGGAGGGAGACAGGGGCAGTGCCTGAGGAGTAGACAGGATGAGAAACAAGAGGTGTGACCGTGTTACTCGTGTTACTCGGGTTTATAACGCTAACAATAGAGACGCTACAGTAGCGACAGGATGCTGTAGGGAGGGTGCGGGGAGAGAAAGTGAAGGAGTGAGCTAAATTCTCCTGGAATGAGCAAAACATTTGGAGGCCTGGGAGTAGCTAGCAGAAGAAACAATGAAAAGAGTTCAGCTGGATTGTCTTCACTTATTACATTGCTGGAGGAGGTGTAAAGTGGTGCAACCCCAGTGGGGGTGCAATTGGCAGTCTTGCTCAGGATCGCAGATGCTCCCTCCCTTTGACTCAGCACTCTCACTGCTGGTCATTCAAAGAGCGCACGCATCTGCATTCGTACAAAGTGACCAGGGACAAGGATCTTCTCTGCAGTGCTGGCAGGCACGATAAAAATTAGAAACAGCCCAAGTATCCATCAGAGGGGACGGGTTAAATGACACAGTAGAGCCACATAATGGAATGCTCTGTAGCTGTAGAGAGGTCAGAAATCCAGACACAGGCCGCAACATGTGTAAGCCTTGATGCCATAATGCTAGTGAAATAAGCCAGTCACAAAGGACAAATACTGTATGATTCTACTCCTAGGAGTACTT